TTTTTTTTTTTTTAGAGGTTTTTGCTATAGGGTGCATGTGCTTGCCAAACAGACAGAGACAGAGAGACAGAAAGCAAGAAATCACCCCCCAGGGGGGATGGCCACGCTGCAATCCCTTCTCCATTCTCCTCTCGGGATCTTGGGCAAGCATGCACACGTGCCCGGCGTGAGTTTTAAGCCACCGGGTCCGGGACACAAACCACGGTCAACTATATGGGAGTCCAGTGACAGCCATTACGCTAACTGCTGGTCCCAGTTTCCCTCGGTTTGATTGCTGCTGCTTCTAGACTCCCAGTCTACCTTCTCACCCAATTTTTATGATGAAATGTCTAGGCAATCTTAGTTTGGCTTTCTTCTGATTTGGAGGTAACCCAAAGGCTTACTATATTATGTTCCATATACACCACATAATAGAGAAGCGACTGTAGCATGACACACCCATTTCTCCATCCTGTTGGGATCTGGGGCACTCATAAGCACACTCCTGGAGTGTTTTTCTAGCCTCTGGGAATTGGATTTGAACTGTGGAGGACTATGCAGGATCTGCCCCCCTTAACCATTAGGCTATGGGGCCTGCCCAGTAATAGTTACTCTTTGAGAATGATATTACCTGATATCAGAGGTCAGCCATACGGGATCCAGCTTCCTTAACCACTAAGCTATAGAGGTGGCCCACTTCTATTTCTTACTGAAAATGAATCAGCATATAGTTTACACATCAATCTCTGTTGAGCATGCAGAGTACGAGTCTGTTCACCTATATTTGGTCACTTCTCATTAATTTCCGGACCTGAAGAGCTACCTGTCCTGGGGGACATTTCAGTTACCTTGCCTCCCCAGATACTATTTCTAGTTAGTCTTTCTAACTGAAATAGCTGGTAATGACCACGCTGTAGGTTGGTCTTTTACTTTATAAAAACAAAACAAAACAAAATTGGTCAAAAATTTGCATACTAACAACATGTAAGACATAGAACACATCAAGTCATCAGATGTGCACACTTGAGTGCCTACCTAAAGGTGCTGTCTGGTGTGAGCCACACACCATACAGTAGTTCCTACTCATTTTTCCTTCTTCACATAATGAATCAATAAAGTCTTCATCATAAAGGAATGCATCCACATGAACTGTGGGTTCTGGCTGCTGCTGTATCTGGTGGAGAGAGAAAAACATCAAAAGAAACAAAGTACAAAGAAGTTTCTTTTTATTGCTAAATAAGGCAAAACATCAGGTTCCTAAGTCAAATTCTATAGAGCAAAAACAAGGCACAAAAGCACATGTTTCATTTATTCAAGTCTGTAACTGTTCTTGTTTCATTTTATTTTTGAGACACAAGCAACTTTTTGTTTGACTTAGAATGATGCAAAACACAGCTGAGAAAGATAAAATTTGAGTTGAAAGAAATTTTGAGATATTCTTCTCCATCCTAAATAGTACATTTTACAGACAAAGAAAATCGATACCTAGAGAGATTTCGCCAAAGAAATTATACTAGTTAGTAAGGGGCAATGGGTTTTTAAACTATTACCAGGTTTTCTGAGTCCTGTATGTCAGTGACTTACCATCAAAATATTTAGCAAGTAATCTTTTCCTAAAAGTTAAAGTTCTCAAAATATAAAACTGTTATGAGGGGCAGATCCATGACTCTGTAGTTAAACCAAATCAAATCTCTCATGGCTGTTTGCAGTTCAAATCCTGGGCTAGTCACTTGAAAAATACCCCGGGTACTTACGTGCCCCAAATCCTAATGGGATGAAGAAAGGAAGGAAAAGGGACTGTGTGTGACCATACCCGATTGGATAGGCATTTTCTCTCTCTTGCACATGTGCCCTCTGGGGGTGGGAGAGAGAAAAGGGGGCCAGCAGGTGGCATAATAGTTAAAGTGCTGGAATCCCACATGGTCAACCATGGTTCAAGTTCCAGACCCAGCAGCCTGAAACTCATGCAGGGCACATCTGTGTGCATGCCCAAAATCCTGAAAGGAGAATTGGAGGAGAAGGGATTGTGGCATGGCAATTGCCGGGGGTTGGGGGGACTTCTCACTTTTTGTCTCTCTGTCTTTCTGGTGAGCACAAGGGCTCTATAGTAAAATTCTCTCTCTCAAAAAAAAAAAAAAAAGG